ACCATCACTATAGAAAATACTCTTTAACTGCCCTCTCAAAAAACTGCTGTTCTGCATCAATTTCCAGAGAGATCACAGGAAGAGCTCTCCTTATTTATGCATCTTAATTTAGGGGACATGAACATCCACCATGGGGTACAGCAGCAAGTTGGAATTTTCAAGCAGAAGTTTCAGGACTTTGCCAAAGCCAAATCTCTGATTCCATCAAACACAGAAGCAAAACCATGCAGAGAAGACTCTGAGTATTGCTCAATTTGAATTTCAAGGGGAAATTATTTCGTAAGTGTTCTATATTCCTGAGAATGAAAATAAGTAAAAATAAGAAAAGAGAGAATATCACCAACAAAACCCCAATCCCAGCAAAAAAACACATGGAAGGTTAACCTGAGGTATGAACCCTTCCCTTGTAGAAGAAGTCAGCTACTTTCTTAATGGCTTGTGGATTGTAGATGATATTTAGAGGTCTGGTACTGACTTCCAGGCGCCTTTCAAAAGTGCTGTGGATTGGATTCCTCTCATAAAGCATCTCAAACACTGGAGCATCAGGGTCTGCAACTGAATACAAGATGAGTTACAAAAAGCAGCTGGAAAAAAACCCACCCCGAAACAAATAGACAAAAGCAAAAAAAACAAACCCCAAAGAGTAACTGATTTTGAATTGGTACTAGTAGGACTGTATTGCCTAAGAGCTCTTCAGGAAGAGAAGAGCAAGTAATACAATCAACTTCTATGTGTTTGTAGCTACAAACACAGTTCTGTAACTGAGATCCTAATGATAAACCCCTAAGTCTTTTTTTAACCAAAACAAAGAGCAACTCCTGATGTCTTGAAATACATTTTCCTCTTTTTTTTTTCCTCTAAGTCTGAACAAAGCTTCTATGATTTTATCTCTACCATCTGCAATAAGCATGAGTTCAAACTCTAGGCACTCAGGTTTGAAATGTCTGCTTTGTAGGAGTTATCATCAAACATAAAATGAAATCTTTACCAGTGTTCTGATTAGTCATTTCTGAGGACAAACTTTGGAGTCCAAAGGAAGACATGCAGCCAACCTCTTTTTGCTGATAAGAATTTAAAAGAGAAAGATTGTTTAGATAAAATCAACCAAGCTACCTGATAGAAGCATTAAAGTCTTTTCTGGACAAATACATGTATAGTCTGAGATTATTATAGGCATTATTTTCCCTGACATGGCCAAACAAGAGTAGGGAGTGTGGCTAAGGAGCTAACACAACTCACTCATGAGCAAACAGGCTGAAGTGCAAACTGCAGGCAGTATAAAGTACAAAATACATGGGAAATTCTCATGGGATCAGATCCAAATTCTGTTTGCTCAGATAAGAAACTGGAAATCTTCTCTGGAATTCATTTCTGATTCTAGTGTACCAGGACACAGGGGAAATAAAACCTCACTTGGAGCACAGATTGCTCTGTGGAAAAGAACAATCACTGATTAAGCAGCAATGCTGATTGTTCCAAAATCAAATGTTGTACTACAAATTTTCTTCCCAACACATAACTTTCAGGTTAAAGTCACAGGTATACAGAGCAAGCAATGAAGAGCTCTACAAATGATCTCTGGAAAGGCAGGGGGAAACTAAGTTCAACAAGTGGAAATTTTCCTTAAGATTTGTGCTCTCTTTCTGGGATAAGAACATCTGTTGAGCTTTGGAGTATGACTAGTTTCATACACAGTTATGCATCCTACAGAGTAACTGAGAGGCTTTTTCACCTACAGGATTTGGGAAAACTAGAACAGGAAATATGGTCCCTTCTGTTGCCAAATCCCTCAGGAAAAGACCTCCAAGCTGAACTTTGAGAAGGGAAGACTTTCTCCGTGGAAGGGATTCTGCCAAGATCTTTACACCTGGAAGAGAAACACAGAAAATGCTTTAGCTTCTTTTAGTGCACAGCAGAACTTTCCTTTCGATTTTACAGATAACAGATATCATCCCACAAACGCTTTTGAAGGTATTTATATATATTTATTTCTACTAAACAAGTTAAAGATGGAAATTTGTTATACAATACAATAATTGTGAGGCAGCTCTGGTCTTTTCTGAGAAAAGAACAGAAATGGACTGAGTACCTGAGAACTCCAGCTGCATAAAAGCAGTCTCCTCAGCATGCACCACCTTCTTCTTCCTATGCAACAGAGTGAAAGAGCCACCCTGCAACTGCAGATTTAATTTAGCAAAGACATGATCCCTCTTGGTAAAGGTGTTCATGCTAGAGGCATCTGCAGCAGGATCAAAAAATTCATCTGCACCTAATAAAAGAAAGAAAAAAAAACAAAGAAAAACTAGAACAACACATTAAATAAATTTCTGGAATGCTACTGAAGAATAGGTTTCTCTGAATTGGAAAAGAAAGATTTCTCCAGCTCTAGGGAAGAAAAACAGAAACACAAAATATAGCAGATATACAATTTTTCCTTAACAAAACTGAATATTCCACAGAACTCTTCTACTTTAATTTAGGTCAAGTAAACCTAAACTTACAAAGACCCCAACAGTCAGTGCTGTTATATACACAGTGCCATGGCCCCAACCCACCTGAACAGAACAAGTCCCAAAGCTCTTTGCCATAAACATCAATAATAAAGGAAGCAAATATATTCTACACATCACTTTGGAAGTAAACAGGTACACCAGGAACTGAAATCCTTTAACAGGTTAAGTTCCAGGCAGGCTCTGCTGCCTGGGCACATCAGGTGACATAAAATCCTTTACCAGGACAAACCCAAAGAGCTGTTTGTGTTCCCCCTGACCAGGTATCAAACGGTGGCAGCCAACCCTGATTCCCATACCTAGGATGTCTTCTGGATTCCACTGTTCCTTGGGGTCTGGCAGCAGCCCTTCAAAAGGTTCTCCTTCATATGTCTCCTGAGCGTATCCATACCAACCTCCCCAGCCAGGAAACCAAGACTGGAGGTACTGCAGCATCCCAGTGCTACTGCCATGTGCAGACTCTGCTGTGGGGGAACCTCCAAGGGAGTCAGGCAAGGGCTCTTTGACACTCTGTGTTTGGACATTGAGGACATACATGTTAGGGCTGATAAGCGACAGAATAGCACAAAACCACCACAATAAAAGCTCAATTCCACCTCCTGTTTTCTCAGCACTCCAGCAGGGATATTCTCCACCAACACTCAGCCTATAGGAGAGCAGCAGCAGAGAAATAACAAACATATTGTCATTTAACTGCTGCATATTCATACATGAAGCCACATGTCGTTATTTAAACCTTAGTCTAGAAACACTGAACCAAAGAACTCGTTTGACACCATGAAGCACAGCTCTGAATTTTAGCATTTGCATTTGAGAGACACAACATTGCACAGTTACAGACACTAGTCTGTATTTTATGACGTGTGCTCAGAGCCATTGCCATGGGGCTCACTTCTGCCACCTATTTATTCTGGGAGAATACTCATGACAGGCCTCATTTCCACTCTGTTTTTCAGATGGAGAGTACCTGCCCTAGGAATTCTGGCATGGATGCTATTGAGGAAGCTCATCATATGACTAAAGATTCCACTGTGCAAGTGACACAGCAGTAAAAACTGCAGGAACATTTTGGCAAGGTTAGCATTAATGCCACAGTTTTAAATCAAAGCAAACATATGCTGAGGTTCTCCAGCAGAACAGAACTCAATAACTCAGAATAATTCACTTAAAGACTCCAATTACTCCCCTGTATGGAGAATGTTCCTCACCTCAGCTAGGTCATGAAATTTATCATGAACTATCTCATACAGAATCTTCAGCTCTTCGTAAGTTTGCTCATCCTCGATACGATGCATTTCTGCCTGCAAAGACAACAAAAGGTAAAGTAACTGCACCAAAAGAATAAGCATCTTCTTCACAAACGTGGCAAATACCTCTGCTCTAAGTAGAGACTCCTACAAAAAACTAACATGGCACTAATGATTTTAGCCAAGTGCCTCAGCACATCAAAATCAACACAAGTCACGTGGGCAACTGGAACACTGACAGCCCCTGAATCACAAGCACAGTTTATTTGCATTGTAAAATGCATTATTTTAACTTTTCAGGGTCAACATTCCTTACCCAACTCTATCCTCCTATCATGAATCAGATTTGCAGCACAAAAACTTAAGCTGTGGGAAATAACCTGATTTAACAGAATGCCTTGCTTAGCCAGGAGCAAAAAAAGCTTCTGCCTTGAGTAAAGGAGCTGGAGGAAATGAACTGTGTAAATTAGGACAATGTAGTATTCATAGTCAGTTACTCAGACATGTTTGTCTTCTTTGGACTGATTAAGAAGTTGTTTGTAGAAATTGATGATTCATTCAAGACTAAAAAAAATAATCTATCATGGAACAAGAAAGACAGACATTTTTCTAGTCCACTGCCACACCCCCAGTCACACTTCACAGCTCTGCTGAGCACAATACAAGCTCTATGAAAGCAAAAGTCTCCTGCTTTGCCAGGTATTAGAAAATTTCCTGTACAGTGACCTACTCTTACAGTTCAGCTCTAAATAACATGAGTAAGGATTACAGACAACTGAAAGCATCGACAGATTTGCACCTGTAATTATGACAGGTAAGATCCATGGTACCCTCAACTGATGTAAGGAAAAAGTCCCAATACACCTAAAGACAAAAAGCAGCTAATTATGGTTCACAGGTTTTTCTTTCTGAAGTAGGTCACAAGTTTATTGTTAGGGGGATTTGCCCTCAAAATTCTTCATCCTAAAATCAACTGTGGAAAAACAAGGCCAAAAAAAACCCAACACAACATCCCTAAACACAATCTCAACTAGCCACACTTCTCTTCATATTATCTCCCCAACCATGTGGGTGACCTGACACATTTCTGATACTTACCTATGTTTTGAATCTATAGAGAACATGAGCATGAAAGCCTCTCCCAGGCTGACAGGAGAATTCTATGCTAGTTCTATGAATCTTATGCTATTTTGGGTCAACACCAGTTCCAGCTCAAGAAACAGCTTTTTGTAGAGCAAAACAAAAACACAGGAGCTCTGCCACACACACACACACACACCTCCCACAGGCCCAGGTTCTGTGCATTGCAAACTCAATTTGGTCTGAAGAGAATCTGTGCAGTGAAAATGGGCTGCAGTGCAGCTGCAGATGGTTCTAACTAGACCAGCTTTGTATCTGAAAAGATGAAACAAACCAAATGCAAGATGACTGATCAACTGTGTAGAAAAACTGGAGTGTAAATACCTGCTCTGCAGCAGACAGAGGTTCCCCCTTCAGCTTGCTGTAGTAGAGGTCAGTGTATGACACAGCATCTCGGGCGCGACGCAGCGCGAAGTGCCAGGTGGAACGTTGTCTCTGCTCCCTGATCTCTGACAGATTGGCATTCAAGGCAAAGATCCACCACTCTCTGCAGCTGCAACAGTTTTACATCACTGTATTATCAGTATTTCGTACAATAACCAACCCAAGAGAATGCCAAAGAGGTGAAAGGAGAGGTTCAGTGAAAAGCAGAGCACAACCAGCACTGGAGGCAGCACATATGGGCTGGTTCTACAGACTGCAGGGCAGTGCTGCCCAAAATCCCACCACTCCAGAGGGATGCAGTCCAGCTGGCATGGGTCAGCACAGACAGCAAAATGTTGAGTTACACAGACTGGATTGAAAGCCTGAGGTAAAAAAAACTAAGTCTGAACGACATCTGAATCTTTACACCTGATTTATGAGGCAAGGGAACAAAACACGGGAACTGAAACTCCAGTACATGATTATTGTACCTCTTGGATGTGTCTCATTCCAGTTTCCCTAGTATAGGTTTTAATATCCCATTAGCACCACCACACAGGGAGATGTACTTACTTCTCTGTCACTGTACCCTTTGGTCTCCACTTCCTGAACTTAAGCTGTCGTTCCTTTCTGGCCAGTTCCTTTAAAAATCCCATGATCTGCTGGTACTGCATCTTTGAGTGAAACAACACACAGATCAATGAATGAGGAGATACTGGACTGCTTCCCAAAGCAAAGAGGAGGGGGAAAAACCCCAACAAAAACCCACCCATGGGCTTAGTTTATCTGCATCAAGAGCCTGAACATGGCTTCAGATCACAGTTCTGTTCCCCAGTGTCACATCTCTTCTCCCAGCAGTTAGCACTTGTGACATTCACTTACAGGTTTCTTTATTTACAAACCCACAGAATGAAATCTCTTTCCATGTCAGGTTATAACAGGTTACAATGACAGGTTATAACCTCAGCTGCTATATAACTAAACCCCCCTATTCATCCCTCATATTTCCACAACAAACATGTCATTTTTTTTTGGCAAGAATCAGGTGCAGTAAAATAAATAACTAACTTGCAATGCTTGGTTTTAAAACAAGTAACTTATTTAGTATATCCCTTTCAGCTCTCAAACAAAATCTTTCAGAGAGTATTAATTTTATGCTGGTATTTAAGCTGCTACAAACACTGCCAGAGCTTTATTAGCTCTGTTTCTGTTCCTGAGAGGTAAATGGTTGGTGTTTACCTGTGAAAGCTTCAAGGGTATAGTCTCAAGGTGAATGTCACACTCCAGCCTCGGGGTATGGCGTGACCTCAAAGGCTCCTTAGAACAATTCCTCTTAAGAAGAGCAGAAGTGCAGACAGGTTCCATGATGTACTTGTGGTCACGACTTTCCATACTTCTATCCATTGCTTCCTGGGGGTTACAAGCAAATGTATTTTCTTAAGAAATGAGGGTACAATCCTGATTAGGATGCACTGGTCTCATAGACCAGAATGTACTTTATGAAGAGGACTGGAGCATTTCCCCTATAAAGACAGGCTGAGGGAGTTGGGGCTGTTTAGTCTGGAGAAGAGCAACTTTTCAGTATCTGAAGAGTGTACAAGCAGCCAGAGAGGGGCTCTTTATTAGGAACTGCAGTGACAGGACAAGGGGTAATGGGTTCAAACTGAAGCAGGGGACATCTAGGTTGGATGTGAGGAAAAAGGGTTTTACTCTAAAGGTGGTGAGACACTGGCACAGGTTGCCCAGGGAGGCTGTGGCTGCCCCAACCCTGGCAGTGTTCACAGCCAGGTTGGCTAAAGCCTTGAGCAACCTGCTCTAGTGAGGAGGTGTCCCTGCCCAGGGCAGAGGGTTGGGGCTGAACCAGTTCTAAGCTCCATTCCAACCCCTAAATTCTATGATGATTCTATGAAGTCCATTAAAACACCTCTTACAGATGTTCTTTTTTCCAAATTAAAACAAGCACACACAGCACAGCCTTTGTGCAATCTCTCTCACATGCAAAACCTCTCTCATGTACCTGCAGCTGCCCCGGAGGGAGGTCACCCAATAAAGTGCAGTTGGTATCCCAATAAACACTGAAGTCAGCAACATCCATCTGTTTTTTCTTCATCAACTTCTCCACCTGGAGTAGAAACAGTGGAATAAAGTCCAGATCACATGCCATGAGTTTTTAGCTCAACATATTCAACGACTAATATGAAACGCTTGGATCCCATTTATTACAACCACCAAAAGCTCAGGAAAATGCCATGTATTTTACCAAGTACTGATGAGCACCCCTAAAATGGAGCATCCCATGGGAGCTGCCAGGAGCTCTTGTACAGAGTTGTACTTACTGGTTCAAACACTGCATTTTGCATTGAGACATTCTTGATGCACACCCCGAACGCAAACGGCTGCGAAGGGTTTGTGACTCCATCCTCAAACCTCAGATGGACATCCTGAATCTTCAACTAGGCAGAAAAACAACATCACTGGAGATACTATGGACATCATTACAGCAGACAGCAGAACTTTTCATTAATATTGAGGCAATTTAATTGGTAATTTTTGCAATTGTGCAACAAATTTCTGGTAGACATTTAACCTAAGAGAAATCCTATTCCTCACTTGTGTTTTTGTACTCTCTGGTTCTGTCTTCTCTCATACCACTAGTCCCTGCTCTTCTCCCCCAAAACAAAGAGCCACTTTCACAGCACAGTGTACTTTATTTTGCTATCCTACTATCACTAGAATAATTATTATTATTACTATTATAACTATCATGATTACTATTTTAAAGGCAAATGTGTAACTGCCAACCCAAGGCTCAAAAGCAAAGACTTACTTCAATATTTTCTACAATTCTTGTGACCACAGATGCAGTAACTGAGTACCAGTAAGATTCCCCTTTCTGCTGTCGTTCTTTCTAGAAGGCAAAACAGGGACAAGTATTACTAACCACTGCAACAGCTGCTCAGAACACAGTAACCTTTGTCACACTGACATCACTGGGAGCAAGAAAAACCCCAACTATTTCAGTATCTCCAGGATGGTGAGGGAGGGTGGGGCAGAACTTGCACTATGACAGCATGGAAAAATCAAATTCTAGCTTCATTTCCAGAGCATTTATTCTCCCACTTGTTAGGACACTTAAATACAATCCACTCATCACAGAGGTTTCCTCACTGTGAGCAACAAGTGGGACTCACTTTCCATTTTTCTTCCAGTGCCAGCAGAAGGGCTTTCTTGTGCTCTCTTTCTTGCAACTTCTCCCTTTCCTCATCAAACTCTTCCTTCTTTTCTGGTGCACCAATTAAGTGCAGCTTTGAGACAGAGATGACCCATGGATCCACATGTGGACGATAAAAAGGGATCTGCAGTGTTATTTTGCCAATGAAACCTGGATAGAGAAAACAGAGATGCCATCAGATTCCTGGGAAAACTGACTTTATCACCCTTGGAAAGCCCTCAAAGAATAAGTGGTGTAAGAACCAAATGAGGTAAAACAAAAATAATGACAAGCAATGGTTTGTCTGAGCCTCTGACTCAGAGGCAAAGGGTCCTCTAGAACATGCAGTGATTCCTGTTTAGAACACATCTGTCCTGCACACACAGGCAAAATACAAACCTGCCTTTACTTCAAAAGGTAACTCCAGCTCCTTTAAGGCATCTTTCTTTAGAGGCAAGTTTTCCAATTCAACAGCACCTGGACAAAGCAGAGAAAGAGACAAGTCTGCTAAGCACAATTATGTCAAAGAAACCCAAGTGACATGGGGTTTTAAAGGAAAACAGTCAACCTATCACTTCAGGATGTCTTACAATCACAAAGGTTACTTAACACACTTGTTAATTTTCCAATGTCATGTGCTCCAACTACTTGGTGAGGTCATCTAGAAATAGTCTTCCTCAAGGTTTGAGAGCTGAACTTTACTGTAACCATGGAGAAAGCCTCTCCTCAGGGGCTCTTCAGAAGAGGTCCTTATTTTCTAAGCATTGCAAGAATCACACACTGAAAAGCTTTGGCGTGTTGCAAAATATCCTCTCCAGAAAGAGCAGATAACAACAGCAAAGGGTGAACCAGAAAGCATTGATTTGAGGACTCTGTACAAAGTACAAGACTCGTGGCCACAGCACGACACAAAGCAGATTACAGGGGAGGAACTATGAGCACCAAAAGGTAAGAGGCAAAGATTACAGAACACCTCCTGCCACAGTCCCTTGCTGAGCACTGGGGAGAAAAATGACACTCAAATATTACAGATTCACCAAGCTGATAACAGCTAAGCATTCTGAAAATTTCATAGACATTGGTTTAAGTGTTGATAAAAAGCAACACGAGAAAATTTACTGCTCATTGTGAAGTTCAAGCACCAAACTCTGTATTAAAAAGGTTCAGGTAAACACTAAACACAATATGAAGTGATTATTTCTATTCCACCTCTGAGTTATTATAAAAACAACATTTTTGGTTTAAAATCACAGGATGAAAATAATACAAAAGTCCCACAAAGCTTCTCTCACCCTTTAGAAGAGCCACTGAAAGTTGATCTGTGTTCAGGTTATTGACATATTTGCCCAGGTAGGTGTTGAGGACCCAGGCTACCAATCCTTCCAACATGACTGGCCTAGAAGAGGGCAACTAATGTTTTCCTGTCATTTTCTGGATTTCTGTTCCATAATTAGTGTCTCTCTGAAAGAAAAAACAAGAAGAAAATTACTGTGTGACATACCCACTCTCAGCAGAGCTGACATGCTGCTGCCACTGCAGTTCTTACTGTGATCCAGCTAAAAAGAAGTAACAGAGAATATGACTCCTACCTAAAAAAATGCTTTCTCCTATGCCCTTTAAGTGTCAGACCAGTTTCACATAGAGTGGTGATCACACACCACTCCCATGTGCACACTGAGTTCATCTTTCCATCCTTTTCCTAACCACAGCACATTTTGTTGCAAAAATCCACAAGGCTAATCCACAATCCTCTTCCAGAAAAGGGGAGGCTAAAACTCCACGTTGAACTGAAACAGTTTTGCACTGACCTCCTCAACCTCTGCCAGGTCCTGGGTTTGTCAGCCTGGTCTGCAGGAACAGCCAGAGCCTACGACTGTAAATCTGCACAATTCTTACAGGACACGTGTGAATAACTCACCCTTCCCAAATCCCTTTTTGGGAGAGCCTGTGAGTGGGAAGTAATCAGATCCAAGCTCCATAAATAGCTCATCAACAGTTACTCTAACAGGTTTGCAAACTGCAGAGATTAGTGCAGAGGAGGAACGAAAGCTACAGCAGAGAAACACCACTGGTCATACCCGTCAACATTTCCCTTCATACACTTCTCCAGTAATTTCTGTTGCAATTTATATGGTAATCAGGGCAATAAAACCACAAAGACCCTGCCCAAGCTTTTAGCCAGTGAATTGCAATAGATTAATTGCAAACAATTAGCTTCTGCAAGGGCAGGATGAACCTTGCAAGGCATTTCTTGAGGTTAGAACAGAGTCAATGTTACCAAAAAATACTCTCCCAGTCCCATGTACCTCCCTAAACCATTGAGCAAAACTATAGAGCAAAGCAGAAAACAAACAAAAAGAAACAACTTCAAGAGTTACATCTTCAATGTTATGCTAGGATTTAGGGTTTTCCCATGGTGAGGTTTTTGCTTTTAGGCACCTCCAGGTAGGCCTTTATTTCTTTAAAAACCCAGTGAAAATATGTAACTGCCACAGTTAAATCAAATAACCAGAACAAACCAAGTAATGAAAGGCCTTTTCTAAAGGCTCAAAGTGAAACTGTAAGGTGCTGCAGAATGAAACAGAAAACAGCACAGGGCAGTCAGAGTAAGTCACATGATTGCACATTAAACGTGTTCAACATTTTTATCTCTGTTAAAAGACTCAACAGTTTTCAAAACCAATAATATTATTCCAAATAACAGAGACTGAGCCATCCCACTCACAGGCTAATAATAACAGGGGGTTTTAACCTAATAAAAGTGCCAAGAAGCAGAAGCCCAAGCTAAAGCAAATACAGTCATCCCTGTCATGTTGCCATTGAAAATAAGTAAGTAAATAAAAGGGAAATCTACAGGTGTTTAGAAGTAAAACAGAGAGGAGTGAAGGCACATTTGGCAGGACAGAAAGGATCAACATCCCAGCGAGTGGAACCAACCCCTCCACGCCTAAACACAGTCAACAAAATCACTCCCCTCCCTCCCCCAAACTCCTACCACACCACCAACCACTTAGCGACCTTCCAAAGCTCAGAAAACCTTTCACACCTACCAGAAAACCAAACCCCTAATCATCCCTGACACTGCTTTAATTCCCTTAACACAACAGGGGACGCAACAAGCACAGCCCAAACCAGGCCTTGGCTTAGAACTACCTCCAACATCACCATGACATGTTTTTTTTTTCTTTTTTTTTTTTTTTTTTTTCTAGCCAGAAAACGCACTTTTCCACGCAGGAACGACGAGGAGACAAACCCCCGGGGAGGGAGCTAGGGGAGCTGAGGGGATGCAGTGCGGGGTCAAAAGAGGGGGTGACACAAGCTGGAAAGGGACTGTCCCACACCCCACAGGGAAAAGCGACCACACACACCCGTGGGCACCGCTGGGCATGAAGAGAAAGGTCACCTTGCCCCGAATACCTCCTCAGGCCCCGCGCGGGGGAATCACTACCCCCCGAGGGATACT